TCCTATCAAGAAAAGCTCCTCCAAACATTCCACCATTACAATCGTTTTTTGTCACTAGAATTTGAAAATATGTTGGGAATGTTTCTCTTGGCTTTTCCGTTTGTCAGTGGGTCCTGTCATTTGTCAGCATAGTCAAAGTATTCGATTTTGGCAGCTGACATTGGTAGATGGAAATCAAAGAACCCACAATGTTTTCCAGTGCAGAACACCTTGTAATGTAGTTGATATCACAAACATAATTAGATATTAGTAGTGACTTGAGAGTAATTTAAAGAAGCTCAAATATCATGTCTGTATCCAATTTAAGAGAAAAGCATAATTAAATAAGTAAATATTATGCGTGCTGTCCATGTAACAGAATAGGTCATTTTATTACAGATGTACTCTACGATTGTTGCACATGATACTGGTATTTTAAGATTAATAGATCTAATAGGTTCTGGTGATCGTATTCACCATAGCTTTGTAGATTAAGGATTTCTTGTTGATGGGGGGGGGGGGGGGTAATTGAAAACAAAAACATATGCATATAAAAAGCAGAACATTAAAAGCAAGAGTTGTTGACACAAAAGCAGTATTTTTTTACATGATCAAAATTGAACAAAATCCATATTACGTTTTTTACATTTAATACAACAAACACTTATTTTTTTTAATTATCCTGTTTTGTGTAAAATCAAATTGACCGCTTTCCAGACTGTCGAGGTCCGCGTAGAACAAAGCACTGATCCCTAGCCCCTGGCAGCTTTTCTCTGTCATTGTAAAAATCCACTGTAAATTATTGATGACCGGCAGACAACTAATATAACAGTCTTTGATGCAAGGCTTCCAGGATCAGTACACAGTGCAATCAAGGACAAATGTCTCGTTGTGAGCTTTAACTAAATGAGAATTAAAACACGAATCTCTTTTTTTCTGCACTCAGCTGAAAACTGTGGTGTTCAATTTGCTATTTTTTGTGAATTGCCAAGTATTTATATACATCAAATAAATTAAGTCCAACGTCAGCACAACATTTATTTGAATAAAAAAATCGACAAACTCATATCTACCACACTGAATATGTAATGTGTTTATTTTCAAATTTTGTACTACACCTAGTAACGTTATATAATTATTTAAAAAAACTATTTGTACCTGTATATAGTTCTCAACCTCTCACAAGCCACTCACTGCTGGTCTGGCATGATGGAAGAGGCAAGAGTCACTCCCCCTCAGGTGAACCACCAGTTGACTCACTGGAGTGCATGTGCTGTTTTGCTGAGTGGGCAACAGCAGGGATGCATTACGAAAGCCTGACTCATATTTCGAATGTCGACGCTAGAAAAGGAAAGCAGCATTACATAATTTCGTCGACGTTTCCATTGTTAGATGTTCAGCAAATTGTTCCTGGGGATGTATTTAACATTTACTGTAGTTATGAATAAGTATTCATATTAGAATAGGTTTTTCCCTTTTTTCTGGCAACAAAACAGGTGTTAAGATGTTAAAACACCAAACTAAAACATTTTACAAGGAATCATGTCTGCATTAACCACAATACTGGTGTTCAGAATGCAAACAAAACACATACTCTGATAATATATGCTCTTTTTTGAGCTTAGTCTCAAAACGGTGTTAGACCAGAGGACGCCAAGAGGCGTACAGCACAAAGACAAGCACTATCCGAGTAATAAGAGCTCGGGGTGAGCACAAGTATTGTGGTTAATGCAGACATGATTCCTTATAAAAGGTTTCAGTTTGGTGTTTTAACATCTTAACGCCTGTTTCGTTGCCAGAAAAAAGGGGACACCTATTCTCATATTTTGGTACTGGCAAATGAGGTCCCATGAAGTGTTTATATTCACAATATGTAACACTTAATTGATAGGGACATTTGAAGTGCAGAAATTCAAATGTGTATCGAGTGACTATAAAGTAATTTATTTGACAATTGTCAACGTCAAATCTTCAGGACCATCCGAAAAGGTGTATACAGTACTTGTATGTGCGTCACATTTTTTTCAGCCAGATATGAGAATTAGTATGCTCACTCAAAATGCGATTCGCTGTCAGCAAGCATTACCTTAATGTGCTGTGTCAAAGCCTATCTATTTAGCAGATGACATAACTGTCAACCTGTCATACCACACGACCCTCTAAATGACCAGAGGGTCAAGATATATGAGACACAAAACCACTATCACTTAGACACCCAGTAGTGTTTACCCAGCTGATTTGAAGATGTATTTGAACGATTATTGTTAATTGACTCACATGGCTGAAGTTAACCAACTAAAACTCTATATGCCAATAAGTGGAATTGTATATAATGTTGTTTAAAAAATATGACGGGGAAGGTTTTGTGCAGGCCATCTTTTGTACCTAAAGATACAGTATGTAAGTAGTGGAAGACCACTTAGAAGCTCACTGTATTGCTTTGGCTTATGTAATGAGATATAATAGGACATTTTGATCTGCCATTTTTTATACAATTACACGCTGTAATGTATTTTATGTTTCACTAGAAGCAACAGCACAGATCACATTACTGTAATTAAAATGACCATAGATGATGCACTGTAGGAAAACTCACAAATATACTTAACATAGATGTATAGATGCAGCACTGTATATGTCATAAATGATCAGTGTCACCTTTGCTATGTTCAGTTCAAACAGACACAATGACTGGAAAGTAACCCGCGTTGATTCGACGTTATTGTTCCAGTCACAGAACAGTAAAGAAAAAATACTTAATTATTAACGTCACTTACGTAACAGGATCCTTAACAAACAACGTTTTCGTACCAGGAAATATAGACGGGAGACGTTTTTTTGTTTTACAATTGGTTATAAGTGTCCAGCTTGAGCAGATCCAGTGGTTTAGAGGCTAGTTTTGCGTATCATCGCGTACCGTACATCAGTAAATGGACAGGACCTCTGCTACCGAGGCTGATAAGCATGCTTAGATACAATGTTTGCTTTTCCCACGGAATATGCCGCGTTAACAATGACTTTACTACCATCCGTGCATTTCACTGTAACCATTAGGAGAGACAAATGACCTCGCAACCATACTGCACAGTGCAGGATGCAGTTACAATATGAAAAGTGAGCAGCCTATTTCAGGACCACGGACAGCGCCACGGCTGTTCAACGCCAGCTGATACACATCGGCAGCACGGGGATATTACTTTCCAAATACAATACAACCTTTTATTAAGGTGAATTATACTGAACACCGGAAGCACAAACTCTAAAATAAGAAGAAAAAAATGTCTCACGTTAGTGGTGACTCGAGGAGCAATCTAAAGTACAGAGTTGTAGTAACGTATTGTTGTATTTTTTCTGCTTGTCCGCCCACTTTTGCTTACCGTTTTTTTAATATTATATTTCTTCGAAGTACTTGGACTTTATCATTATACACCAATTGACGGAAGACGCTGATAGATGAAAAGTAGAAAATGCACGTTTACGCATGTTAACGGTATTGTTCCCCTAATATTTTGTTTGCAGATGAAAGATTAAAAGGTCGATTCAACAAAACAATAACATGCATTTATCATACGTTAGTTATCGGCATCTGCAGATTTCTCCCGGCACTCTGTTAATACTCCCCACGCTTCTACGTTTGTACAAGTAAAACAAAGTTTGTAACAATATCTATAGCAGCAATATCATTGCATAAAAAAAAATCGATTCTTCAACCCCAATGTTGCGCCACTGATAAGCCAGCACTGGCCCAACGTCTGTGGAGTATGTATTACTTAACCATCGTACAGTCACATTTATACACACGAGCCTCTGCGTCCATAGCGCGATTGCCAAGGGGCGAATGGTGGCGGTAATGTGAGCATGAACACCCGCACGGGCACATGTGCCTCTTCGCCTTAATTGTCGCTTGGTACGTCAGCTGATGAGGCTTGTCCCCTCCTCCATCCCTATTACCTATTCCGTTTCCACCCTCTCTAGTCAAGCAGCTGCTTTGACAGCTACAGGGGCGTGCGGAAATGAGAGGTTGGGGGAGGAGGTTTTGTTGGCTGTGGTGGAGGTGGTGTAAAGGTTTGGCGTGGCCCATCTGTGAAAGTTACCGTCGTACTGTGTGAGAGAGAGGCTGATACGCCGTGTTTATTTTGTATGTGTGTGTGTATTTAATATCACGTACTGTACGACACAATTTAAATAGAGAAGAAACACCCGATCAAATGTCCCTTTTATAATGCACGTCAGTCAAATTATCATCCGTTATTTGAACCCGATTAGAGCCCCTTCAGACGATGCGTATGCTTCGTACAATATTTGATCTGAAATAAAGAACATTCTAGAAATCGGTAAACAGGGACGGATACAAATTGTAGGGGCGCATTGAAACTTGGACAATAAATAAACATACTAATTGCATAAACAAACCATAAACAGTACTGTATATACTGTATACAAATCACTGACTTAAAAACACACGAAGCATTGCATTCTTCTGCTGTGTAATTGCGGATGTGAGTGGGTGTGAGGGCGAATCGTTGCTTACGGATTTTCGTATATAGTATATTTAGGTAACGTGTATTGTTGGGTCGGTGAGCGATCCAATTAAATGTTGTACTAGATGTTGTGCCCTGTGTGTGTTGTGCCCTGTGTGTGTTGTGCCCTGTGTGTGTTGTGCCCTGTGTGTGCTGTGCCCTGTGTGTGCTGTGCCCTGTGTGTGTTGTGCCCGGTACGTGTTGTGCCCGATACGTGTTGTGCCCTGTGTGTGTTGTGCCCGGTACGTGTTGTGTCCTGTGTGTGTTGTGCCCTGTGTGTGTTGTGCCCGGTGAGTGCTGTGCCCTGTGTGGTTTGTGCCCTGTGTGTGTTGTGCCCTGTGTGTGTTGTGCCCGGTACGTGTTGTGCCCTGTGTGTGTTGTGCCCGGTGTGTGTTGTGCCCTGTGTGTGCTGTGCCCGGTGTGTGCTGTGCCCTGTGTGTGCTGTGCCCTGTGTGTGCTGTGCCCTGTGTGTGCTGTGCCCGGTGTGTGCTGTGCCCTGTGTGTGCTGTGCCCTGTGTGTGCTGTGCCCTGTGTGTGCTGTGCCCTGTGTGTGCTGTGCCCGGTGTTTCGCATTTGGGGAGGAACACTGATTTCCGGTGCATCATTTTCCCCGAGAGCTCCGGCGGTAAATGCGTCATAGCGCACGCAGGGCGGAGCGGCCACAGCCGAAGGGTCCAGGCGTTTGGCACCCACCCTCCCCAGCCAAGCCACCCATCCATCCAGTCACTCAGCCAGCCATCCACCCCGCACACCCCGCCAGCCGTCAGCCCATCCCTTCCTCCGACGAGTCGCTCCCACCCACTCACCCACCCTCCCGAGCTCGGCAGCCTCCACGCAGCGTCCCCCCGGCCAGCGGCTCCACTTCTCCTGCCTCCTCCGCACAGCTCCGGGAGCGACTCCGCCGTTCACAATGCCCGTACGAAGAGGCCACGTTGCGCCGCAAAACACCTACTTGGACACAATCATTCGGAAATTTGAAGGGCAGAGTGAGTATATGAGCACAGTGCGCGCGCATCCAGGACCTTGACGCGGAGATCGGGGCACGACAGGACAGACAAAGCGCGCGCGCGCTTGTGTGTGTCCGTGTATTTTTGTTTTAACACCAGTGCGAGCAGTACATCTGTCGCCTCCGCCTATCTATTGTTTATGAATGCTGCGTTTAAGTCGTGTATGTATTATAGAGCCTTAACAGTTTGTATTTCTTTTGCCAGCGTGCAATCATAAATGAACGCACATTGAGAGATGAAAAGCATTTGACACTAGCCGCTGCCGGTTTTTTTTACTTGTTGATTGGTAAACCGCTAGAACGTTGGATTTTTTTTGTTTGTTCATTAGCGCATTGTGAGGGCGCGTTTGAGAGAATATGCGTTCACCCGGTTATTGGTATTGACTCGTAGCGTATGGACTTCTGTCTCCTATATTATATTCCTGTGCATCCTGAGTTGTTATAACAACGCGCCTTTTTATAAACGCCACGCCGTCTCACAATGCACACATTGCTACCCACAAATGTTGATGCCATGGAAATGCAAACGTGTTTTCTGCATCATGCAAATCCAGTCATTACATTACTAACGCGTGAATTCCTAGCATACTCGATAGTGAGTGCTTTTTTCTGAGGCTTAATGTCATTTACTACAGAATTTGTATTATTTTAGAAACGTGAAGAAACACATTTTTCTGAATAAGATATCCTGATTTAAGCGAGTAATAAGGCTAGTGATTTAGTTTCATTGCAGTGTTAACGCATTCCTGAATTTTTGAAGCAGGAAATTTGAGTAAATGGAATTTTACATCAATATTTGATGGAATGCTGGAAATATATCCGTGCAATTTGTGAGTAAATTAAATAATGACCATTATCGAAGATAATACGTGATAAAAAATGGATCCACATTTGAGCATCACAAAGCCATGTTACTTCTAAAACATATCCTGTTATCATAGCAATCAATCATGCGTCCATAAATTAATTACCTATTTCCCATCGTATATCTTCCTTAAGATACAATTGAATCAAGACAGTTTTAAAATGCATCTCTAAACATCCCTCTTACCATCCCACTAGAGTTATTATTGAATGGAGAGTTGCCCAGAAGTGTGGAATATGGTGCTTCGTCATTTTAACACAATTCTAAAGACATGTATCAAAATAAATGTGGAGGCATGATTTGAAGAATCGTTTGATTTGAGGAATCGCTTGAATATGACAGTTATGCGCCACTTCACAAAGTTTAATATCAAAAGCTCGAACAAAGATTAAAATCCTTCACACACGAGATTTTGCTGTCCTATGAAATAGGTAAAGGTGCAGGTGTGCAATTTCTTGCTCACGCTATTGCTGGAAGAATAGCCTCCAGTAGAGGGAGTTCTCGGGAGCCCCGTTCGAGGATACTTCACAGCTGGATGAAGGCCTCCCAACGCCATCACCAATCCTCATGGTGTCATTGTACCTTAATCTATCGGGCTCCTGCACATAAGCTGATCTCAATCTCATCACTCTATCTCCGTGGTGGTTGTCCTCTCGGGTGTACGCTCTCCTTTGGCTAGGACTCCTTTGTGTTCCACCCGAAGCAAACTTACTTTTTTTAAAAATAAACAATGTAACGTCTTTAATTTGCATATGTTCTAAGACTTTTCTGTATTAATATATATGAAACTTATCAATAGTTTCTTGTTATAATTTATAAATGTGTATCCATATACAGCGAGGGAAAAAAGTATTTGATCCCCTGCTGATTTTGTACGTTTGCCCACTGACAAAGAAATGATCAGTCTATAATTTTAATGGTAGGTTTATTTGAACAGTGAGAGACAGAATAACAACAAAAAAATCCAGAAAAACGCATGTCAAAAATGTTATGAATTGTTTTGCATTTTAATGAGAAAAAGATGTATTTGACCCCTCTGTAAAACATGACTTAGTACTTGGTGGCAAAACCCTTGTTGGCAATCACAGAGGTCAGACATTTCTTGTAGTTGGCCACCAGGTTTGCACACATCTCAGGAGGGATTTTGTCTCACTCCTCTTTGCAGATTTTCTCCAAGTCATTAAGGTTTCAAGGCTGACGTTTGGCAACTCGAACCTTCAGCTCCCTCCACAGATTGTCTATGAGATTAAGGTCTGGAGACTGGCTCGGCCACTCCAGTACCTTAATGTGCTTCTTCTTGAGCCACTACTTTGTTTCCTTGGCCGTGTGTTTTGGGTCATTGTTATGCTGGAATACCCATCCACGACTCATTTTCAATGCCCTGGCTGAGGGAAGGAGATTCTCACCCAAGATTTGACGGTACATGGCCCCGTCCATCGTCCCTTGGATGCAGTGAAGTTGTCCTGTCCCCTTAGCAGAAAAACACCCCCAAAGCATAATGTTTCCACCTCCATGTTTGACGGTGGGGATGGTGTTCTTGTGGTCATAGGCAGCATTCCTCCTCCTCCAAACACGGCGAGTTGAGTTGATGCCAAAGAGCTCCATTTTGGTCTCATCTGACCACAACACTTTCACCCAGTTGTCCTCTGAATCATTCAGATGTTCATTGGCAAACTTCAGACGGGCATGTATATGTGCTTTCTTGAGCAGGGGGACCTTGCGGGCGCTGCAGGATTTCAGTCCTTCAGGGCGTAGTGTGTTACCAATTGTTTTCTTGGTGACTATGGTCCCAGCTGCCTTGGGATCATTGACAAGATCCTCCCGTGTAGTTCTGGGCTGATTCCTCACCGTTCTCATGATCATTGCAACTCCACGAGGTGAGATCTTGCATGGAGCCCCAGGCCGAGGGAGATTGACAGTTCTTTTGTGTTTCTTCCATTTGCGAATAATCGCACCAACTGTTGTCACCTTCTCACCAAGCTGCTTGGCAATGGTCTTGTAGCCCATTCCAGCCTTGTGTAGGTCTACAATCTTGTCCCTGACATCCTTGGAGAGCTCTTTGTCTTGGCCATGGTGGAGTGTTTGGAATCTGATTGATTGATTGATTGCTTCTGTGGACAGGTGTCTTTTATACAGATAACAAGCTGAGATTAGGAGCACTCCCTTTAAGAGTGTGCTCCTAATCTCAGCTCGTTACCTGTACTAAAGACACCTGGGAGCCAGAAATCTTTCTGATTGAAAGATTTCTGGCTCCCAGGTGGTGGTGGAATGCATGCGAACAGATATTTGTAATCCTATGTATATATGTGTATATGTATAACACGAAATCATCATCAGTCATGACCTGTGATGCCACAATCAATCTCACTCCTACACATCCTTCTATTTCAATCGTGGATGTCCTCTCAGGCGTGTGTTTATTTGACTCTGGCAGTCATTCTCTCACCAATTTCAACCATGGGCCATCACCTTCCTCAGAATGTGTATTGCTCGAGTCCACTTTCTTCACAGTTTATATAATGTTTCTTGATTTGCATTTGTTCATGATCCATGTGCTGCTGTTATTGTCTCTCAACGTAATTCCAAGCATTCATCTCTCTATGCTTCTTTGCAAATGTAATTTTTTTGTCATCCAAAAACAAATGTCAGGAAGATCGCAAAAATACAAGATTGAGCCTCACTTTACCTCAATTGCTTTAACAAATAACTTGCCACTCGTTTGTAGGACCTAATAATTTACTGAACACTGATTATGTTTCTCCATCAGTCCTCAACCATTGAGACATTGCCTATTCCAAAATATAACTAATCATTTAGACAAGCTACCTACATGTGAGGGATGCTGCCCTGGTGTAATAGTTATCACAATGCAGTTACAATCCAGAGGTCGCCGGTTCGATCTCCCAGCATAGCATTTGAGGCCATGGGGAAGTTTCTTACATCCCCCCCTTCCCACCCCCGAAATATCTGTCCTCCCAACAGTATAAATGGTGGGACAATGTGTGGATACTCCCACATCTTTCAAACATTTGGGCGGCGTGGAAAAAAGTAGGCCAAGTACCCTCTAAAGATGCTCTCGAAAGCTCCCTCTAATAGAGGCCCTTCCACCAGCTGTAGCGTGAGCAAGCAATTGCAGGGATGCACTTTACCGTTTACATACATCTGGGTGAAGAACAGTGGTCCCAAACATCGTACGTGTACCTCTGAGGGATGCGCTTGATATCTCGCGGGGGTGCACAAAGCAATATCACGTGATGGCGGTGATCGTGTGGGGTCTGGTCATGTGGTATTACTAGACAGTGTTTTATAAAAGAGTACATAGTTTGCGAATTATTGTTGAGTTATAAATATGAGCTAAATGTCAAGGGTGTTAATTACTTGTAAATGTAATTAAAATGTAACTTTATATTATGTAACTATTTGAAGGATACACTGGGAGGAGTACACGGATAGCTGAAAGGGCTGGTAGAGGTACACAGGAACAGTAGATACATCTGGTCGGGGGTACACAATGAGCGAAATGTTGGGAACCACTGGCCACGGAACAATATCTAACAACTTCTATTGACAACCTTCCCATGCGTGTGGTTTATGTTTTTTTTTTGCAGATCGAAAATTTTTGATTGCAAATGCCCGCGCGGAGAACTGCGCCATAATCTTCTGTAACGATGGCTTCTGCGAGCTGTGCGGCTTCTCGCGATTCGAGATCATGCAGAAGCCGTGCACCTGTGACTTCCTGCACGGCCCGGGCACGTCAAAGCTCTCCATCACACAGGTGTCGCAGGCACTCGTGGGCTCGGAAGAGCGCAAGGTGGAGATCCTCTACTACCGCAAGGACGGTAAGCGGGAGCATCGCTACGGCTGAACGTGCGAGGACGACAGGGGCGTCGTGACATCGCTCAGTTAGCTCTGGGATATTGATTCACGGGCCCAAGATGAAGGCATGGAATTATTGTTTTTTTTTTGTGGGTCCAGCGAAATAGAAATGTATTTTTGCCTTGAGATTTTTCAATTTTTATTACACCGTTTTTTTTTTCTCAGCAGGACTGATTGATAAAAGCTGTACTTTAAATGTTAATTCGTGAAACTGCTTTCAAATTGGTATTTTTGTTCATGCTTTGATGAATAGACAGTGGCACATTTTTCTTGAGATGTTGACATCAGTATAACACACATTATTATTTATTCACATTTCATCTTTATATATAAAAGGGAAATTTGTGAATATGTGTGTCTGTTCGAAATGTTTAGCATACTTCCCGATATGCAACAAACTTGAAATTTGGCATGTGGGTAGCTTCCTAACTTACACAATGCAAGAAAATATAAAAATAGACTTTTGTATTTTTGGGGAGGGGGGGGGCGCAATAATGGATATATTTTGCAAGACAAGTGAGCGGTGACGTCACATCTGTGATGTCACCCGCATGCGGCAGCGTTACGCAGTGTGCCTGCTGACGTCACGCATCCACCCCTCCCCAAACCCTCCACGTTGGCCGTGTATCCCGCACAAATGCGCGGCATCACTGTCTCGATGTTCTAAATCAACGCGACTATTTTCAGCTCACTCTTAAATATAATGCAGAAAATGCGTCTGTTTGTGTGAAGCGGCAAAAACTATCCAATGCTGAGCTCTGACGTCAAGAAATTTGCACAGCTCACGCTGTCTGGAATTTGTAAGGGAACGCGACAATGTTCAGCTCGCCACGTCACCCCCTTCCCGTGTTGCCTTAATCGACCTTACGTATAAGTGGGTTAAGGTGGAATTTCCTTGAGTGAAAAACATCCGATTTAGTTAAATAGATTTATTTCGGCTTTTTTATTTCTTGCAAGCATCAATTTTGTTCAGGGTTTTTCAATGAAATATAAGGGAATATGAAATTAAATCCTAGACAAGAATTCAAGTCCCGGACGAAGCCAGGTAGTTAAAGCTAGTTTAATTATATAGTTGAGCTCATTTTGCCTTGCTGTGGAGGTATCCATATTATCATGATTGCATCTGGCTTACATTTTTTAAATGTGTAAGGCAGAATAAGGAATAGTCACCAAATGCGTCATGGATTTTTTTCCTGCGCAAAGAAAGACTTCGGAATCACGAGAGCCCTAAAGCCACATATACACATACGAGGAATTAACCGGGTAATGTTGCCTTTATCCTTGCTTGTTCATGACAGATGACTTTAGTTTCCATCTATGGCCAGAAAATATCTCTTGAAAGTGGGCAGACGTGCCATAGAGTGGCTCTAATTTTAGCAGTAATTTGATGTTTTAAAACGCTGCATAAAACTTTATGTTACCAAAATGTTCACTTTGGGTTCCGTCACCTGTTTTCCAATCATTTTTATGTTAAAGTGATATTCTATATCTCTGGTTTCACATCTGGGTTTTCAAAATTGAACAAGTAAATTTAAAAAAAATACAGCAGCTTTGGTTGCAGCAAGGACATTACTCTAACATTCATGGTTCAGGAGGAGTGCTGTAATAGCTGGGCTTAAACTCCTGGCTTTGACATGGCAATTGCCTTTATGTCAATATCTTGAGTATGTCGGTCTGCAGGCAGTGACAGCCCCTATTTTTTTTTACACAGCACTAACAATACACAAGACCTTATGGGCTAAGGGCTGCCTTAACCTAGAATCTTGCAATTGGTGAGGAAGTAGTGTGTGTGTGTGTTTGTACATTATCATTCGTGTTACAGAAGTATTTAACATTTTGTAAAGAAAAAAAATGTCACGATGCAGAAAACTGTATAGTGTGTGCAAATTGGAAGTTATGCAATAGTTAGTGTTGTGTTTCAAATATATAATTGTGTAATGTATCGCCTAGGATGAGTAGAAAATTGCATTATATCAATGTCTGTAGAAAAAAAAGACTGTAGTGCTGAAAGGTTCATGTTGCTTACGAGATGGCATGGGTTCGTTGCCAATTTTGCTACGATGAGCCTCTCTACCACCCTTAAGTGGCCATGTTTACCTATTTGGTACCACTGAATTCACCCTTGCATCAATATGATTATTTAAAAAAAATCGACAACACTTAACACAGCTACGGGGCAACACTCTCCATTATTTTAAGACCGGTAATTGCAAAGCCATTTTTTTTAATACTTTCTGGCACACAGTCTGTCATGTCATCGCTGTAGGGTGTAATAATTTCAGGACGGGAATCCAGACATTTGTAGTGGCTCAGCTGTAGCGTGTGGTGTGTACCGTGGCTTCTTTATTGTTTCCCATTTTCACGCAGCACATACAAGCAAGCGATTATTTGGAATGTTCGTAAATGTAACGATGCATAAATTAATCGATTAAAATCAGTTGTTATGCATGGCACCGTGCATGTAAGTAACAATGATTTACAATGTGTTATATGTACATTTGTCAAGTATATTAATGAGTCATAAAAAAATGTGAAACAATAAAAGCGCGATAGTAAGAGCAAAATACAAATATACGTATTAGATTGTTTTTATTGAATCGGAAACCCAAATGGTGATAATTAATCAAATCGCCAGCGTTGTGAATTGTTGTTTAATTGATATTAATTAAAAAAATAGTACTCATACATTCCTAAAATATGTTCCTAGAATGTTAATCTTAATTGCACCCCAGGCATGCATTGCATTGTTTTGAAACACACAAGGACAAATTCAGGCCCTTATTCAAACTGGAACCACCGGAGTTATGTACGTATATGTACGTTTAACTTTTTCACACCGTACATAGCCAATCGTGCTACATTGCTACCCTGTCATATTTTCAATTCATTCTTGTTTTTAAGCGGTCATCCTTAACCATTGTGGATCCCAAAGCCATAACGCGAATGAGGGTTTCCTTGAGTCTGTTGGTAAGGGGTGGAGGATCCTGTGACTTGTGGGCCGTACCCGGCCCACAACTTCATTTCATCCGACCCACGGCCACGTGAGGCCCTGTCACTTTGAAATGGCACCCAAACGACATTCATCTATTTACTGCAAATGTGTTAGGGCACGTGTCTGCTTCAAAACAACGAGCCGACTCCAATGTGTTTTTGTGAGGGGAAAGCAGGCGCAGGAATCGCGTTAGTGTGGTCGAAGTGAACCTTCGTATTGTTATTGGATAACGTTAAGGTGTGTGTTAGTTTGTAGCCTGCCAAAGGTATTGAAAGTCATATTCGTCTCTCAGTAACACCTAATACAGGAAGACTGAGTTATGCATTCGTATGTCACACATTCCCCAACACTAATGCACCTGAAGTATCTGACCATGCTCAACAGAACAAAACAGAAACGCTACGTAAAGTGATAAGCACGTGGAGTCTTGACAGATTGTGATAGCTACACACGTATGTAGTATGTTGAACTTCTTTCCCAGCATACGTAGCCAACTATGCTACTCGGAGGTTCGGGGGAAGGACAACAAATTAAATACAACAAAAATTAACACCACTGGCAATATTAGACTAAAACATTAAACTATTTTTTTTATTTGACCAGGTAAGGCCCACTGAGCTATCTATATAGCTCTTTTTCAAAAACGAACCTGGCCACAAGTGATAACTCAACGAAGTGGCTTATCAAATGGAAATGTACAGCAGCCAAACACTCTAAACGCATGTTTTTAAATGTGGAGAGAAAAACCGGAGGGTCGGGAGAAAAATCCACGCGACCAAAGGGAGACACAGCAAACTCCAAATATATAGGCGTCAGGGTTGGGGTCGAGCCCACGACCTCCTGTATACCAGGCGAGGCAGTTGACATCTCGCCACCGCGGTGCCACAATATTGGTAATGTGGGGCCCCTGCTGGACGCTGCCTTTACTGGTCCCAGCATGTGGCTCTGTTTGGAGGTCAGAAGGTTACTCCAGTTCATAGTTTCTTGAAGGATCCTTGTGCACTGTCGGCTGCAGTGGTGATATTTGAGACGGCACATTGTTATAATGATGTTCTGTACTTGTCGCGTCACCAAAGCTGACTGCCGTGCACCTGGCAAGTGGACCTTGTGGTATATGTAACCTGGTGGCGTGTATCCCAGTATCGTAGCATGATGGCAATGACATATAACTGGTATTTGTTAATAGCATTCCATTTGAAATAGTGTTGCTAGTGCTGCTAAAATCATAAGAAGAATATAGAATGTTTGTCTGGCATAGCTGTTTCACTAAATAATTAAAATTTCATGATTCACATGTTCTACATTGAGACACGCCGTCATTGCATATCTTACGGGTGAAACCTGCAAAACATTAATCTGGCTCTTTGAAAGGTATTAAAAAAGAATCATCACTGATATAAAAAAAATATATAGTGGTTACTAGACAATTGTAATTAAATTGCTGTTCGACTTTTTGCAGTTCAAGTCATGGGACATTGTTGTGATGGTCGTGCTGTTACACTTTGAGAATGCAAATTGAATGCTGTCATTAATATATCCAGTATGCAATGGTGAAACTATTGCATAGGTTCACAAACTATTGTTAATGATAACTATTATTAATAATAGTTTCAGCCAATTCAAATCCACTATAGGATGTAGGCCTCCCCATGCCAGGTCGATTATGGGGTAGTATATTTTTTACATACTTCACTATGCTGGTCAGCGTGGGCTTGTGAAGGGGAGGAGGGCAGGATATGTTCTGATATCACTCGACACTGATGTCAACCATCGCCCGGAATTGAACTCAGATTGCAGGGTTCATAGTATAGCGCTCTAACCACCGTGCCACCACTCCACCCTAGGTTGCATGATTATTGTTTATCTACCAAAATGCGACTATCAACCAGCACAGTCGAGCAACAGAACTCCCATTCACGGGTGAGTGCTAATCCCAGCCAGGATCGACTGCCCATCTGGTGAGTCTGCACC